AAAAATTTAAATTCCAAAACTTGAGGGCAAGTTTTGAAACTTTTCAAAACCTTCTAGATCAAATTACAAATAATTAAATTAATCAAATAATTGGTAATTATCTAAATTTGACCTAATTCAATTTTATGGCAAGATAATCCAATCAAAATAATTCAAATAAATCAAGTTTATCATATAAGGAAATGATTATCTAATTAATTGACAATTATCTTTTATTTTGAGAAGGATAATCACTTAAAATAACAAAAAAATCGGATTTTTTTATTAGTCAAAAACAATTTTGGTAATTATCCCACAGCAAAATAAGCAAAATCCCGAAAATGCCTCTTTTTGACCCTGAACTCGCCGAGTTGCCCTCTGAACTCGCCGAGTTCAGCAGCCAACTCGACGAGTTGGTCAGGCAGATCCAAATTTTTTTTTCTATTTCATTTTTGAATAATTATGTATAGCATCAAATACATTATACAAACAGCCTAGGCTCTGATACCACTGATGGGTTTTGAGCACTACATCAATCCTATGGTGTACATGCAAACCCTAAAGCTTTAGATCTAGTTTGTCTAATGAACGTGCAATAATCATCCAAAGCCATAAACCCTAGATCTAGCATACTATGAATGAAATTAGGGTTTAGATCTAACCCTTGATTGTTATGTAGCAATAACAATCTATTCCTTCTTGTAATTGGCTTCAGAAAGCTTAGTGCCTCAAATGTTGCACCTCTAATGGAGTCACAAACACCACTACCAATAAGGATGAAGAAGAAGGAAGAGGGGAACTCCAAAAATGTCTAGGAAACCCTAAGGATCACTTAGCCACGTTTGTGGGGCTTAGGGGTTCCTTATATAGGTAGGCTATTAGGGTTATCAAACAAGGAAACCCTAATTTGACGGCTTAGGCTCTAAGCAACCCATTGACTCCTTCTTTAGAGGCCTTGGACGAATTCTAATGGGCTTCCCCATAGATTTCGTCCACTCTAACTCTATGGAGTCCATTAGTCCAATTATGCAACTGTCAATGATTTGCATAACAGTCCCCTAAGTTTAATTAATCTCTTTTAGCCACAAAATTAATTCTTAATTAATTCTTGACCAATATTAATTAAACAATATGATTTTTCCTTTAATATATTATTCTTATAATATATTAATAAATCATAATTAATCCTCTCTCTCCTTAATTCATCCTACAAGTTGCTATGGTGAAGGCAACCCAAAAGGACCATGCTCATAATCGGGTCAAGTACATACCAAAATAGTTATGGACTTAGACACTAATCCAACATAAACTCTAACATAAAGATATTTAAACAAGGAGATACCAAGGTATGAGCTTTATACCTTAAAGGACTTGCAAATTGAGGGATAATTATGGATCTCAAAGCTTCACTCAAAGAAACACACCTTCCACCTTCTTCAATTCCTTCAAAATGAGCAAAATAAGCACCAAATTCTCCTAAAGAGCTCAAATACACATCCAAGGAGGCTAAGGGTATATTTATAGGGTTTTGGAGGTTTAGAGGCTGGTAAACAGGCCAGCCCTAGGGAATTAAGGTGTTTATTTTGGGTGCATCACCCTAAATTAGGGTTTCATTAAGCCGCACGTACACCCCGCATACATAGGCGTACGCCCCACATACTTGCTCGGAGTCTTGATGAAGCCTTGCATTAATACGTTAAGCGTACCATGTGGTACGCCCCACGTACGAGCTTCACAGCTAGTACGCCAAGCGTACCCAATGGTACGCCCCGCGTACTAACACCAAGGGCCAACATGCAATACAATTAAACAAAAACGACCAAAAGGAAACATACCCAATTCAAGTGTTACATTGTTAGTCTTATTGGCTTGTTTGGGTGTAGGGACATTTCAGGGAGCCGGAAGGCTTAGTGACCAGCTGGTTGGGTTCATGTGGTCAGCAAAAAGGTTGTTAGGAGTATTAATTGTGCATCATAATTCTCTTGCTAAATGTTTGCATTATGAAGCCTATTTGCTTGCGATCTGTTTATTAGGAGTTTGGTTACCAGTGTTGGGTATTGGTTCTGAAATCTCAAGTCATGAAGTTCGATGTAAATGTCTCTAGTGATTTTTCAGGTGGATGTACACGTGAGCTGAAGGAGGATTTGGATGCAACGTGAGATTCTTGGATTGACCATCATTATGCTCGTGGGAGCAGCGAGTTGGTGATGACTTGTCAGGAAGTCATGTGTGTATTTAAGGTTTTTTTTATAGAAGTTCCAGATTCGGGATTGGGTGTAATTCATGATCGGGATGTTTTCAGTATTCTTTATGCATGGTTTGGTGGTGTTCCTAGTCAGGGAACTTGGGGTAGGTGTGACGAATGGATGATTATCAGTCTTAGGGCATGATAACTGAAGTTTAAACTGACGGGTTCCCAGTTCCGAGGAGTATATTAATGGAGTTGGTTTGTGGTTGTATTTTCGAGAGTTCCCGGTTTGAGTGATTTTCACTGGAATTTGGGTCATACAGTTAGAAAGAGAAAGATAGTTGTTGCGGTTGAGTATTTTCAAGTCATTGGGTTGTTTGTCGGTAGTTATGGGTTTCCGAGTGGCCTCTCGAGTTTTTTTCTTTATAAGATGCCTTGATTTCGAAGTGGTTAGAGGAAGCTTATGGAATATGATGTTGTTGTTTTTGGAGATCCTAACCAAGACACATTTCGAGGACGGAATCCAGTTTAGGTGGGGGAGAGTTGTAACATCTTGTTTTAAGAAGTTTCTTATTTCGGGATTGTGGACAATAAATGGAACAAGTAAAGGTCGTGGGCTTCAAGGAAATAGAGTTTAGACCCTATTGGATGTTGATAATCTTGGTTATGTGATCTAAGCCCTTGGTTTGTGTTTTAGAGTCAAAGGGTAAAATGGGAAAAGTGATGTTCCAAATTTATTTCATGAATTAAAGATTTTAGTTTTAAGTCAAAAATAACTAGATAGAAGTGTGGTACTTGTTAATAAATTTGTGGATATAAAGATCGCCGAAAATGGAGTTGAAACGAAGAAGTTATGGCTATTTGAAGTTGAGGTGGATTTGGGTGAAAATCGTCGCCACAGCACGACGAGAATTCCCACAGCTCGGCAGTTTTCGTTGCCGTGGTAAGGCTATTAGTCAGGCCCAAGCCCATGATTTTAGTGTTTTCAACGTATATAAGCATAAGATTCCGCATTTTTGGGCATTTTAGTAGCCTCCATCATATCTAGATTCCCTTAGAAGAAACCTTAGCCTCCACCTCAAGATTTGAGCTTCTCCTGTCTCATGTCTCCTCTTTTGGATGTTTTTGTATGATATTTTGATGAAGTTTGAAGATCAAGAAGGTTGTTTTGGTTGCAAGGAAAGTTGTTTCATGTTTGGATCCATCAAAGGCACTACATTTATGGACTATTGTAACTATAAAGTTCCAATCTTGCTATATAGTTCTTTAAATCTTGTTATTTGGGGTTTTTGGCACTTTTGGTCTATTTTATGAGTGATCTTGGAGTTGTGTGGACTTTAACGTCTTTTGATCTGTTTGGGTTGTTTCTTGGACCTCATGGACTAGGAATGTTATGATATTTTGCATTCCCTTTAAGCCATGCAAGTTATCTTGGCCCTTTAGGACATTTTGGAGTATTAAAGATTAGATCTTGAATGATTGTGATATTATTATGGATAAAGTTGGAAACTTTATCCATCTAGACATCTTGTTGATTCAGATCTAAAAGTTGGAGACATGGATTTATTAAATTAAGTTGAGGAAGAAGGATTTTAGGGTCCCTTTGAGACTTAAAGTCTAAATCTTGACCCTTTGGACCTCCTAATGTATAAATTTAGAAACTTTATCCATTAACACCTTGGAAAGGATCAGATATGAGCTTTGGAGCTCTTGAAATCAGAAGAAAATGGATTAAGCTCGTTTGAACTATTCAGACCAGTCCTCATGGCGTGGCCTTAGGCTACCACGACATGGCGACTTGGGAATCCGTGACTGTTTTGGCATTTTGACCTTAGCTTTGACCATTGACTTTTTTATCGGCTTGACTTTTTGTCAAACTTGGGTATAATTGAGTATTTGGCTAATGATTGGTCTCGGTTTAGCTTTAGGAAGCTTGGGTTGGTTGTTCTGTTGCTAAGGTAGATGTTGGGCTTCTGTTTAACAATTTAGTCGAGTCTCTTCACTGTACTCATGTGTCGAAGGTACCAATGTCGACGTAGTGGATTATGTGTGTAGGATGCTAGATGTCTTGGTGACTCTTGCTGATTTTACTATATCCTTTGTGTATGTGGGGTGAAATAGACCCGTTCAGTTGAAAAACACCGATTGAATTTAAATAGATTCGGGGTGAAATAGACCCATTCGGTTGAAAAAGACCGATTGATTTGAAATAAACTCGGGGGTGAAATAGACCCGTTACAGCTTCGAGCTGATATATATATATATATATATATATATATATATGTATGGTATGAGGTATTTTAGGGAACTTGCTAAGCTTTGTTCTTATGGTTTATGTTTAAAATGTTTCATGTACTTCTAGATTCAAAAGGAAGGGCCCGACTTGATCGCACTACATCCCCCGAAGATTTATTCTGCGCTGAATGTTTGTGAATTATTCTGATGTTTTGAGAATACTTTGACTCTAGTCGTCTTTTGGAACAATGAAAGAATGGTTTTGACTTATTTAAAATGAAAATTTTACTCGGTATTTTTAGGACGTTATAATATGCATATGATATGTATTGTGATATTCCATTTCAACCAAATAATTTAGATGCATACATATGCATATGACAGATATGTGTATAATAGATATACATATGATATGTATGCATGCCAGATACATACATTTCACAAGACCAAATTTGCATTCTTGATGGAAGTTCCATATGAGAAGTTAGCACATGTTTCAGATGTATCGTACAAACAAGACACATTTTACCATATTCAATCTAATCAGTTGGGATGTAATCCTTTTTAACAAAAACAACTGCCATGATCATTAAACAAACATCTAAGAATTGGAGACTAAAGTGACTCTTGATTATACTTCTTTAATTAGCATAAACTTTAGTTGGTAGTAACCAATTCAAGAAAGGAAAGAGATACAACAGATAATTAATGATGACGCAAAAAATTATGTTGAGGGAAAAACTCGTGGGTAGTCGACCAACCTCTGGGATTATGTCTACCAACTTATGGTTTCCATAAAATCTCGATAGAGGAGTTTAAGTCATGTTTAACAACAAATGTCTTTATGTTATTATCCCAAAATTCTGAGGAGTCTGTTGTGACTTTCGTTGTTTTCATTGGATCATCTTTAGGAACGAGTACAACTCTAAACCTATGCCCATCTCCATACAAATCCTCATCGCAGGAAAAGGAAATGAAATTGTATGTTGAATTCAAGCATCCGGTGTGCCTCAATGAACTAAACGAAACATATCCTACATATATTGTATCATGATAACGAGTCTCAAGTGTTTCCTTAGACTCCTGATCAAGCTCAGATTGAATAATTTCAAGGACACCCAGCTTGATGGTTATGTCAGGGATCCCATCAAATTTCTTATTGGGTTTGACAAACATCAAAATCCCAGAAAACTGATTGTACCAATCATGTGGAAGGGGCATATTATAAGTCTTCACCCAAACGACCCAAAGTACAGATGGCCCTCTCCAAATGTCAAAGCCTGAAAGGCTGATACTGATAAAGTAATCTTTAGCATTTCCCTGCCACAACACACATTCGTTATGATTCACCATTATTCTTCTTATATTTGGGTTTATATATATATATATATATATATATATATATATATATATATATATATATAATATATATATATATATATATATATATGGGGATAGGGAATATACATTACAGCCCCACCTAAGCTTAGGTACTAAACCTCTAAAATATGTCGTTTTAACATGCTAAATATGTCCGGTTTGGTTTCACTTGGTAAATATATCATTTTCCATAACATTTCTTTCTTTCATTATCGTTTTATCATCTCTGTTTTCTTTCTTCAATTATCGTTTATTACTTCACCCAAGTGAATATTACTAAACCCTAAACCTAAACCCTAAACCCTAAATTTAAACCCTAAACCCTAAACCTAAACCCTAAACCCTAAATCTAAACCCTAAACCCTAAACCTTATACCCTAAACCCTAAACCCTAAATCTAAACTCTAAACCCTAAATCTAAACCCTAAACCCTAAACCTAAACCCTAAACCCTAAACCCTATTGTGTCGATCTTGAATTTACATCTTGAAGTATTAATCGTGAATCCATTAACCGTAATCTTTATATAGTAAAACAATGTATTTTCAAGAGGTTTAGTACCTAAGCTTAGGTGGGGCTGTAATGTATATTCCCTATATATATATATATATATATATATATATATATATATATTATATATATATATATATATATATATATATATATATATATATATATATATATATATATAAAATGAGAATCAAAAACCAAACCTGGAGCATGGAATCTAGTAATATCTCACCAATAATTGGACCTATATTGTAATCCTCTAAATGTGAGACTTTCCACAGCCATTTACATTTTGAAATATCTCCAAAGCTTTGAAATGAACTACACTTATTCGCAATAACAACAGCTATGCTTGATGGCAGCTCCGACAATTCTACAAGTTTTTTGCAATGTGACACGTTCAGCAATTTGAGCCGAGGAAGTCGCCAGAGATTAAAATTCAACCATAGAAATCTATTTCCTTCAAGATTGAGTTCTTGCAGGTTGGGTAACTCCCAAATAGCTGCAGATTTGATGTCTCCATCTGCCAAATTGCACCAGCTGAGATCCAGCTTTCTTAAGCATCCACCAAAAAACCATGCTCCTATGTGGTTCACGTTGTGAGGTAGAAAATTATTAAATGAACTGCAACTTGAGACTAATACAAGAGTCTCGAGTTTCTTCGACCGGGTAATGGGTGGAACCATATTAAGATTTTCACAATCTTGTATCTGCACACAAACTAGATTTTCCAAACGTCCAAATGATGGATGAATCTCTTCTAAAAGCGGAGATCCATCAACTATGAATCTTTCAAGGTTAGGAAGCCCGTCAAAATCTGGTGTCCTGATTAGGTTCGTCAAGTAAAAAAGTCTGATCATTCTCAAGTTTGGTAGAAACTGTATACAACAAGAGCACATAAGATAAAAGTTTGCCAACTCGGTATAGAAATGCATTCATTTCCAAAAAAAATATGATGAGCCATGTTATATTTTATAATGTTTGTAAACAAGTTGCTTTAAAAAGATTATCTATATTGTCATACAAAATTGACGGTAAGAAACCATCATTGTAAAAGAAAATATAACTTCATGAAAGTAATCAAGTTTTTATGATAACAAAATTTTCAGTCAAAATCAATATCTTACAAAATGTGAATTATAAAAGAAGTCATGCTTAAACTTTTAATATATAATATATTCGTTCTAATAAGGCCTTTCATTTTATGATTACTGAGATACATTAAAATCTAGCTTTTTATGTACGTACACGTGTGCGAGAGAGAGAGAGAGAGAGAGAGAGTTAAACTATTAATTTAGCCACATACTTTGCTTAATTTCATCCATTAAACAATAAGAATTACCTTGTAACCCTCCCAAAGTTGTATTACATTGAGAAACCTCAATGTTAGACAACAAAGCTCCCTTGGTGGAAATTTTTCTGGCACTATAACCGATTCAGCTTCTGCCAGATTAAGGTTCAAATCAATCCACCGAAGTTTCTTCATGTTTGCAGTGACCTGAAGAACACGTGATTCGTCACTCCTGATACGCTGAACATATATAGCTTCAATCTTGTCAAGGTTCTGGGATAGAGGAACAAAATGGTGTCAGGGTTGAGTTAGATGTGTTTCTTTATACATATTTAATTGTACCATAAAAAACTTGCTTAACCATTACCGTGGTTGCATCCATAGCACATATTTTTAGAACATCTTCCCCCTTCCAGATTCTGCTATGTTTATCAGGATTGTTGGGGTGTTCCCTTCTAATAATGTAGTGTGCCATTTCTTGTACCAAATCATGCATATCAAACTTTCCATATTCTGTAATAGTTATGAGAGCCTTTTGTACCAACACCTTTATGCCTATAACAGGGTGAAAACCACAAGCATTAAGTATCATCATTATCTCTTCGTTATCTTTATACCTCCCTCTGAAGAAACATGCAATATCAAGGAACAACTGTTTCTCCACAGTGTTGAGTCCATCAAAGCTGATTTTTAGCTTTTCCAAGATATCAGCATCTGGAATATCTTTCAGTCTAGCCAATGCACTTCTCCACTCATCCATCTCTTTGTCACATAGAAAACGACCGAGAACACTAAGTGCTAATGGGAGCCCTCCAGCATAAGAAACCACGTCTTTTGAAAGAAGCTGGTAATCTTCTAAAGGTTTGTGGCCACAAGGTGCATGCTTGCAAAAGAGCTTCATAGCCTCATCATTGTTTAACAAGGTAATATTGTGTATCACATCTACTTTATGTCCAGTTAAAACATGCTCATCTCTAGTTGTGATTATTATGCGGCTTCCTTCACCAAACCAATCACGGGATCCAACTAATTGTTCCAGGTGCTCAAGGTTCTCGACATCATCAAGAACAATCAAGACCTTTCTACGGTGTAACCTATCCTTTATCATGCGCCTTCCTTCTTCAACTCTCCCCACCTCCACTTGTTTTTGTTTCAAAACACCACAAATAATTTTCGCTTGCAATCTTTCCAAACCGTCTTTATTACTTGATTCTTCCCGAATATTTTTTAGAAAGCAGCAACCATCGAACTTGCTAGAGATTTCATCATAAATAGAAGATGCAAGAGTAGTCTTACCACCGCCCCCAACCCCCCATATTCCAATCATCCTTTTACCGCCAAGCCCAATTTGTAACTTTGGTATCAAATGTTGCATGCGAGCCTCTACTCCAACCAGGTTGTCATCCACACTTGAAGTTATTGGATGCAACCTATGTGAAATTGTGTCAACAATTTTTTTGATGCACTTCGACTCATGCCTGCAAATTCAATATATAAGGATCATTAACAAATGTTTACATTGACAATTAGGCTTATATCATAAACTAACACCCAAGACAATGTCCACTTTGTGAGTTCTTAGCAAACATTAACCTTCATTAGTTCTGTAGTGGTGATTATTATTCGGCTCCTATGAAGTGGTCTAGTTAAAGTCATTATTCATAAATTAAGGTCATCAACATCATCAAGAATAATAGAAGTATTTGTATGAAAACCTACTTAGTATCATCACTATGTATCACCTGTAGTGTTTTTAAAGTAAGCTAATAGAACTTCAGATCATGTTGATCGATTCCCATCTAAATTGAAGATATTGTTATTGTAAATTATTGCATAGCACTAGTATAATTACTTGCACCGTTGCTCATGACTAGTTGTTCTCTAAATACATATATAATGTATTTTATCATTGAGAATTTGGCTTTATCCTATAAAAATCTTATAAGGTATAAGCATACATGTCTATCTTAAGCTTGAGAAGTGCACAAACAAAGAAGAAAAATACCCGTTGGCAATGTGCTCAGTTTCCCATCCAGAAATATTAGCTGCATCCACAAGTGCTTTTCTCCAATATTCAACCTTGTTGTTGTTCTCCAGCTCATGTTTCACAAATGCTTCTCCGTATTTGCGTTTTTGTTTTCGAACTTCGGAAGGATCAACGTCATAAAATATGGGTATCACAATTTGGCCTCTTGTATCCTTGCATTTCATGATATGTACAAGTTCATCTAAGCACCATGAAGAATCAGCATAGTTTTTAGAGAATATGATGACAGAAATTTGTGATTCTTCAATAGCCTTCTCAAGGGATGGGCCGATTGATTCACCCCGAGGAAGTGTTTCATCGTCCTTGTAAGTATAGATCCCTTGGTGTTCAAGAGCTGTGTAGAGATGATCCACAAAATTCTTACGAGTATCTTCTCCTCTAAAACTAAGAAAAACATGGTATTGCCACAACTGAGAAGATAATGACGGCACAGATAGAGAAGACGATGTAGATGCCATCGATGCGTTGATTTTGTTGAGATAGAAGGTATGTGCTTTGAGCACCTCAATGATAGAAACTGTATATAGAGAGATGTGAGCTTCCAATAAATTTCCAATTCAAAAAGCTCAAGAAATTTCTTTACACTTTCAATAAAGCAATCCTAAAGCGACTTTAATAAAGCTATCCTAAAGTGACTTGTTTTTCCATTGATATCATCGTTAAAACCAATAAGATTTTTGAAGAAAATACAGATGAAATTTCTAGATGGGACAATTTTCATTTGAAACAATAAAGTGACATTATTTTGTCATAGAATGAAAGAACCATGAACACTTTTGGCCCGTCCACATTTGGTTGTAAGTAAAACGAATATATGCCCTTTCTCTGGTTTTTTTTTTTACAATTTTTAATTATTTATGTAATATTTATATTATTATTATATTTATATTTAATTGCGCCCAACTTCCTTCCTCATGAAACATCCATCACTCCGAGGCATTCTCTGGCCACCACCAACGGAGAAATCAAACCTATCTTCATCCCGATTCCCGAATCAAAACAAAAGAGATCCAGATGAATAAATTCTTCTTTTGATGAATTTGTCATCCACTACAAGAAATCTTGGCATTACCGGCGACGCCTTTAGCGGCGACAAGGGGCAATAGCGGCGACATGTAATTGACGCGTTACATGTCGCCGCTATTGCCCCTTGCCGACATGTAATTAGCGGCGACAGGTTAATAGCGGCGACGTGCAGTATTAGCGGCGACAAGAAGCGTATTAGCGACGAAGCATTACCGGCAACGCATTTGCAGCGACATGTCGCCGCTAAAGGTATTAGCGGCGACTTCCCTAACCTTTAGCGGCGACGCTGTTGCCCAATCTTCTTGTAGTGATCTGTTACATTAGCTGCAGAACTTAAACATTAGAATAATCATGAAACTTACAAGTGCCATTTATTTAAATTGTCTCCACTTGGACCATATCTTCCTCATAGTCGCTTAAATCAAAATTGATGTCTGCATCATTTCACCAGAACTTGAATGCAACCTGATCATTTGTTGTTAAATTTAAGATTGAAATGAAGTCAAAACAAAAACAAATTTGATTGTAAGTATCGTATATAGGGCTGTTCACTATTTGAATAAAACAGAATTGTCCAATTAAACAATTTGGATCGGACTATTTGGTTCGGATATTCGGATTTTTTGGATTGGTTTTCAACAAAACCAAATTATTATTTTGGATTTCGGACTGGTTTTGGTTTATAAAATAAGAACCGAATAACCCAAAAAAACCGAATAACAATATATTATTAGATTTATATATCTAAAATTATTTATTAGTTTTGTAATTTATTTTTTCAAATAGATTCAAAAAGTGTTACCTAATAAAAATCATTAACATGCATTTTCTCTCAATAGTCTTTTTTATCTACAATATATTAAACTATAATATTACTTATTAGTAGTTGTTTATAAATTTTAAATCACAACTAAATAATTTGTTTTTGTTTCTTCTATAAAAATGGGTAATAATATAATTATATGTCGTTTTAAAAATGTTCCAGTTTTTGAAAACCGAATTATAAAAACCAATCCGGCCGAATTCTAACTGGTTCGGATTGGATTGGATTTGAATTTAGTTTGGACTATTTGGATCCATGTTTTGAAAACCAAAATAAATTTGGATACACTTGATTGGATCGAATCGAACTTATCCATCCAAATGAACATCCCTAATCAAATACACATGTAATCAGACAAACATAAGCTTATACATCAAAAGAAAAACAAATTTCTGTGTTTCAGAACACAGAAACCTATAATATAGCTGTGTTCCACAATCCCTTAACAGATCAGATGCTAATATTTAAGAATCTAATATCATCAAACAAGACAATAAGAAGATTTCGACTCATTGTCATACGCCAATATACAAGTTATAGAAACTATTAGACCATTCTCGAACTTGAGTAAGAAATCAAATTCAAAGGGTGTTTGCAGAATTGCACATGGAGTTTAGGAGTCAAGAGTTATGTGAAAACACTTTCGTGCTCAGTTGATTGAAGTGGGCCCTGCAAATTCAAAAGGCAAAAATTGTGGGGTTTCGAAAACTAGATTTAAGTAAAGAGAATATCATAACATATCTGTGTAGATTCGAACTTCACTATTAGAATTGGATTAAGAGAAAAAGATAGGTATAGATTTGATAGAAAGGAGAACTAATCAAACCGTACAGATCCGGAGTGTGAGTGTTGATTTCTTTATTTAAATTCCATAGAGTAATCTTAGTGTGTTGACATATCTCAATTAAGGGTTGTCGAAGCTAAATTTGTTTTTTTTCTGATCGATAACAGCACAGGAATCGGGGATTTTAAGTTACTTGGCCAACCAACAACCGCCTACATTGCAGGTGAGTACGGGGAATAAAGGAGAAGGGAGACTCATTTTCATACGCCAATATAAAAGTTATAGAAACTATTAGACCATTCTTGAACTTGAGTAAGAAATCAAATTCGAAGGGGGGTTGAAGAATTGCACATGGAATTTAGGAGTCAAGAGTTATGCGAAATATCTTCCGTGCTTAGTTGATCGAAGTGTGCCCTGCAAATTCAAAAGGTAAAAATTATGGGGTTCCACCTTTTCATCAGCATGAAGAAGAGACGGGAGGGTGGGGATGGGTGCTCGGGTCCAAATGTATTGTTATGATAAGGTTGTGTCATAACACCTTTACTCGCGGTAATCAAATTTGGCACCATTTATCGGGGGTGAACACCGTGCCTCTTCCTCATTTTTACCGATGGTAGCTTACCGCTGGTAAGCTACCACCGGTGGTAAAGTGGGAGGCAAAAATGGGATGTGTCTTTAATTCTCTCTCTACTCTCTCTTCTTTTGCCTACATGAACACATAACACCACCTCCTAGCCATTTTTAAAAATGGAAAAAATTGTAAAAGTGTTACTATCATTCTATGTGGCCATCGGTAAAAAGGACATGACATCCTTTAGCCTAAGACAAAATTTCATAAATGATCCTTAGGGTTTTTTTTCCATAAAATAGGTATTATGGTTTTTTTTCTCTAAAATAGTCTTTATGGAACTTTTTTTTTGCATTAATAGTCCATTTGGATGAAACCTTGCACTCAAATGATCCTTATCATGCATGTTCGTTTATAGGTGTCATTAACATGCCCCATATGAAGAGAGGCGGCTCGGCAGGGAAGGAATGGGAAATCGTCAAAGATGACTTATTTGTTGTCGAAACAAAGGGCTAAATAGCACCAGTGATTCTATGAGCCGGTCTGGATTTCCAATGCCTCAGGAAACTGGTCGAGATAGATGACAGCGCCTTTTTCCCCTCTTCCTTATCAGCATTACACTTCTTAATTACATAGTTCAGCTTAAAAGCCAATCAATCAAATTCCTCTACATGTAGCTCCTTGCACATGAGGGAATTTTGTTCATTTCCTTTATGGTTTAATAGGCTCATTTTACTTACTTCTATTTATGGTTTATTTTAGCATATTTCATTTCAATTTTAGTTAATCATCATGCATATTTTCCTTTTTTGTTATTTTTTGTCTATATCAGAAACTTTCTAGTCTTTGAGTATAATTTCAATTTTTTAGAAGACTAGCATGGAGTGGAGATGATCAAGGATTGCGGGAATCAAATAGACTTAAAGATTTAAGAATCTAGGGCTTGGTGACTTTTGGATACAATACAAAATGGGTTAGTTGGTGAATGGAGACTTAAAGAAAATATGGGCCTTGGACTTAAAGAAGATGGAAGCAACATTTGAGTTTATGGATTTGATTGATCAAGCGGGTATTCGAGCTATGGATGATTAAAAGGAGCTGAACTGGGCTAACTTTGGGGTAATCTAGAAGAATCATGGGCTTACAATCTGATAGAGAATAGTTGGGTTAGTGGGTTGATACAATGTAGTCCCACGAAACAAAAGTGGCCCATTTTTGACCGGTTCATGTGGCCCTCAGAGGAGGTAGGCGAAAAAGTCAGGTGGCCAACATGACTTTTTGCAGGGACATTTTCATGATATTGCTTTTGGATGTTATTTAGGGAAGCTTGGTAGCTCTCTTTTGGGCAGTCTTGAATCCGATTTTTAGAGTATTTTCTCTACACTTTTGGAGGCTTTGAAGACTTGAAGAGCCTGAAGAATATCATCTTTTATCACTTGATCCCTGTGACATGTTTGGTACATCTAAACTTTATTTATTTTTCTTGAGTTTAGCCATGCTAAGCTAAACTAATCTTGGTTGATTTTGGTATAATCAATGGATAACTAGTTATTTGAAGATTATTATGAACTTGTGGTGATGTTTATGAAAGTATTTTCCAATTTGACAGCTTTTCTATTCATATGTCTTTATTCATGAGTCCGGATGTATGTTTAGTGAATAGTTGGCTAATTTATTTATTAATTAATGGATCTTCAAATTAGCAAGCAACAAACGGTTTTGTGTTTGATTTCCTTGAATCCAATCATGAAAATATTTTCTCCAACGTAGTAGTGAAAGAATTTTGACTCCTCTTGGAGTTGGTGACTTTTAAATCTTAATACTAGTTAACTTTCATTAATTACATGTTTCATGGGAATTGTGACTTTAACTAAGGAAATATGTAATGAGATTTTATAGATATTTTACTAACTAAGAAAAATCCAGATGATTTAAGCTTTTAGATCATTATATCCAAATTAAACTAAACCATAAGTCTTGCACCATAATATCTAATGAAATTAATTAAGTATCGATGTGATGAAAGCCAAAGTTAACCATCTTTCTTTCATTGATTTAAATCAAACACTTTTTCTTGTTGTATTGTAATTTCCAAGTTTTAGTATAACTTAGTTTCTTTAAAACAACCCAAAGTCTAACCCCCCCCCCCCCCTTTTTATTGTCTTTTACGAGTGCCTTTATAAAGAGATTTTATAGAGTTATAAATTGAACTAATCTTCATGGATTGGATACCTTTACCATTATACATTATCTAGTGTTCAATTTTTAGGGTTATTTATTTGTTGGCCTAAACAACCACCATGGTTTAAAACTTATACATATTTATTCAACTCCACTTTCTCATATATTTCTTAAATGAAGTTGAAGAAATCCCTATGATACAGACAAAGCTCAAGAACTCAAAGAATGGCGATTTTCCCATGTGGAAGCCGTGATCTTGTCATTGTGACATGATGGTCTAGTCGCAACCCTAGAAG